GATCTGTCATTACACATGATGCTACAGCATCGTTTCGTTTCGTCCGTTCCATGGTTGTGATGGTCCAAGCCTGTAGTCGCACATTGTGCGTTGTATCGCACAGATTTTTCACAAACTTTCTCCTTCCTGACTTTTCCTTTCCTTCCTTTGCCTTTTCTTTGTTTTTTTTTCTTTTTTCCCATAATAACAGGTGGGCGACATCATTGCCGACAGGAAATTCCGCCAGCAGACGGGAACCTCCGCCGAGGAAGAGGCCAAGGGCCCCTCAGCTGAGATCACCGCAGACCTCGAAGACTTCTAAACGGTAAGCGCTAAGGTCTTTGCGTTGGTGTAATTTTACGGCCTTGCCAGCCACCCTCATTCGGGAGCTTGATCTCCTCTTACTTGCCACTAATATGGCCAATAGACCTTCTCGAAGCGATTATCTCCGCAATGTCACGCCTGCAATTACTCGTTCGGCATCACGTGCTGCCTGCCGTCAAAACCGATCTCGCCGCTCTCAACAATTGCGTGTCCTCCGCATGGTAAACCGGCTAAATTCGAATACCACTTCATCAAATTCCAACGAACAAGCCACGGCACGTCGCGCAGCTCGCGCACGAATTCTTGCCGAAAGAAGACATGCCCGCAACCACAACGATTCCGAATCTGCCGCTGTGCATAACCACTTCGCGCGTATGCGTTCTCCTCGACACCCATCACCCTTCCACCAGGACCCTTTGTTCAAAGGCATTCGAGTTTTCAACTCTGCAATCGACGAGACAGTAGTCACCACGTTCGCGTACAACGACCTAGATGACGACCGCAATTATGTTTGCCCTCATTGCGACTCTCACCTGTGGAAAGAGGAAAGAACTAAACGCTTCAGTTGCTGCAATAATGGACAATACGCCATACATAAATTAAGAGAAGTTCCTCTACATATTTGGGATATCTACGATACTACCGAGTTCCAACGAAACCAAAGGAAATATAACTCGCTCTTTTCTTTTACTGCTCTCAGTGCCGGTGGTTTACGTAAACAGACCTGGACTCAGCCGTACGGGCCATGCATATTAACCATGCATGGTCGCGCCTACCATCGCATTTTTGACTTGCAACAACACTACGCAAACATGACCGTCACGAACACACCACGCTTCTATATTTATGATTCCGAGTTCAATTCTCAATCCCGACAACTTCAGGTCAACACCAACACCGCCGCTTCGCTACGATCCTACTTTCACCAAAGCATACCATGGGCTACCCAGTATAGAAGTGCTGTTGACGAAGTTTTGCGAAATGCTACCATGCCTCCCGAACCTGCTGTGATAGAGTTTGCAGAAATAAGCAGGGCCAACGACGGCCACGTCCTCGGAACCCCAACTGCGCCTGAGATCGCCGCGATTTTGTATCCCTCAAAAAGTGGTTGTTCCTGTACCCAACCAGTAATTACATACCCAAAGAATAGCCCCGATGACAAGCTGCGTTTTCTAGACCTCTACTCTCCTGCATACGAACCCCTCCAGTTCCGTGCTTATTTAATCATGGTGAATGCGGTTGGAGCAGAGGTCATTACACCGAAAACCCTCCCAGAAAGTCGAAAACCATGAACCGTGCCGGCACAGAGCACGTGCCCTTCTTATTCTATTGTCGTCAACGTCTACTATCCGAACCCCTCTTTCAGAGAAATAGCAGAATTGCTCAGGATTGGTGTTGCGATATGTACTCACGTTTTGAGGAAAACAAATGATCATATTTTGAATCTGATGAACTTGAGCATAAAGTGAGACTTGCAACCCGACGTTCTATCACCGAGTCTACAGCAGACAATCAACCCGGCCAGCTTCCATGGATCGCCTTTGAAGCGGAAATCGGATAGAGAAGACGCCCTTAGCATTGTTAATCGTAGGGGTCGTCCCCAAGTATTCATTACGATCACATGCAACCCGTTATGGCCGGATAGTTGCCAATTTGTTGCCCAAATAGTTGCCAATTTGTTGCCCAATCAAACAGCTTCTGATCGCCCTGATCTGTGCTGTCGTGTTTTCAAGTACAAAATTGGACAGATAATCGCTGACCTCAAATCCGGTAAAGTTTTCTCAGACATGGATTTCTTTTTCTACACTATTGAATTCCAGCAAAGAGGCTTCCCTCATTGTCACCTCGTGTGTCGCTTTAACAACGATGACGCGTTCACAATCATGGACTCGTGGGTATGGGCGCAATTACCCTCCCCGGATATAGCGAACGGACGACTTCGCGAAGCCGCACTAAATTTTATGGTCCATCGACCGTGTGGTACACACAATGTTTCCGCTACTTGCATGGACACGAACAAGACCACCAAAAAGCGGTACTGCAACAAGCACTTCCCACAGCCTTTTCGTACTACAGCTATCGTCATCAATGACAAAACAGGTCGTGCAGAATACAAACGTATCGATAACGGCGACAGACCCACCATCCGCCAAAGAGTAGATGGTGAATGGATTGATGTTGAAATCGGCAACGAGTGGATCGTTCCGTACAACCCGTACCTATTTTTGCGATATTGGTGTCACATTTGTTTCGACATTGTGGCGGCTACCTCGGGAATCAAGTACCTCTTTAAATGCGTCGTTATAGGCGGTGACATGGCCAGAGCAAGAGTCGCAGGTGTCAAAAGCGAAATTGAACAATACAGAAAAACTAGATACGTTTCCGCCGCCGAAGCTACTTGGCGCATGTTAGGATATGACATGATGTTGCGCTCGCCTACAGTCACGGTTGTCCACGCCCATCTAGAAAACGAACACAACGTCATGTACCCATCCAATTGTACCGACCAAGAAAGACGGGAATATGCTGGCGATTCTGTGTCCGACCTTATGCGATACTTGCAACGTCCAGCTCTGGAAATGTTCGATGCCTTAACCTTGCTTACTACTTTGAAACCTTCACCATCCCCCAAAAACAAAGGACGATCCTATCCCTTCTTCCCCACCACATGGCAAGTGGTTAGATTCCTACGGCAACGTCGTCTCTGCAAGACGTTCGTCGCATGTCTGTCGTATTAAATTTCAGTCGCCTGCTGTCGGTGACCTATTTTATCTTCGCCTAATCTTACACAAAAAACCCGGTAGGTCATTCACAGAATTAAGAACTGCAACTCCGCCTTCGGGCATCCAGACCGAATACCCTACATTTCACGACGCCGCCCGAGCTCAAGGATTGGTCAGCGGGCAAGAAGAATTATTAATTTGTATGGAAGAAGCCATCAATTTCGAGATGGCGTCCCAGCTTCGCGGCGTCTTCGTTACTCTAATTTTAAACGGCGGCCCCGCACCCAAAATGTGGCATGACTACAAAGAACACCTCATTGAAGATTTCACCCGTACTATGAGCATCACCGATGCCACCCAACAAGCTTTACGAATTATCGACTTAAAACTACAACACCACGGTAAAACAAACGTGCAACTCAGTCTTCCAGAACCCATACATCGACAGACCGAGTACGAACGCATGCGCTCTTCCTTCAATCCCTCAGAACAATCCCAATATGCTGATAATTTCGAACCTGGCTTAACTTCTGAGCAACGAGCTGTTTATACCGCTGTCGTCGCAGCCGTTAGAACCAAACAACCACAGCCCTTTATGATTGACGCTCCAGCAGGAACCGGTAAAAGCCATACAGAACGAGTTATTGCAGCGCGTTTGAGAGGAGAGGGTTACACTGTTCTCATTGTGGCCTCCACCGGCATCGGCGCCCTCCAACTTCCCGGTGGTTGGACAGCCCATAGCTTATTCAAGCTACCACTTAATGAACGCGTTGTACAAGGAGCTTATTGTGACATCAAAAACGAATCACAGCGTGCCGACCTCATTCGCAAATGCGACCTAATCATCTTTGACGAACTCCCCATGACCCACCGTTTCTGTGTCGAGGTTCTTGAAAAAACTTTGCGCGATATTAGAAAATCGCAAGCGCTATATGGTGGTGTTCCCCTTTGTTTCTCAGGTGACTGGCGTCCATG